TTAACCCTATGAGGGTGTTCTTGGACTTTTTAGATATCTTAAGATGTCCTCTAAACAACCCTTTTAGTTTCATCTCAATTGGATCTTCCATATTCATGTAAGGAGCTTTGACCCAAAAGGTGTTTTTGTTGACTTCTTGAAAGAACCCATAATGTTTGAGCTTGCATCTTTTAACTAGGGCATTTTTTGAACTTGAGGGCTGAAGAGAAGTTGTATGGGATTAGATTCTCTTCAAAATGAGCTTTGGTGGAAAAATTTATGATAAAGTATGAGAAAGTTATGCCTGGTCAAAGTTTGGTTGACTTTTCCTATAGAAACCCTAATTTGCAATTTTTGACTTTTGATGAGTTAGGAGTATTTCTGGAGGAATCATGACCAACCCTTGATCAAATGATGGATATTATTTCAAAATGTTGATGTTGACCAAAAATCTTGTAGTTTGACTATATATAGGCCACAATTGACTTTTGACCTAATATAGTTGATTTCCAGGCATTTGAGTAGTTAACTGAGCAAACTTGTTGTGCGAGGCATGAATTTTTGCATGGATAACCTTGAGTACATATTAGGACCATGTACAACATTTTAGACCATTGGAGTTCACACATCTTGATGAAAATTGAAACCCTAGTTAGAAGTTCATTGCCTTTAGGAGGAGAATTTATCTGGTTAATTCTTGATCATCCTTGGGCAAGTTGGGGACTTCAATGGGCATGTGTTGAGTAAAAAGGGAGGGAAAATTTTGGGGTACAACAGGTTTCATCATTTTCTTGTTAAACAAATTGTGCCTACCAAATAACCTACTCCTGTCAAACAAAAGTCATCTGGTGTCAAAACATTTATTGGAAAAAGACAAAAAAATTACTCAGCCCATTACTGCATTTAAGAAAATAGATTTTGAAAGGCCATCTATAAGTGATCATATAAATTGTTTTAGCATTGATCTTATAAGTTATTTTATTACAATTAATTTACTAACATTGTGCTATCATACCAAGTAAAAATTAATTTACTAGCATGATACCAAAAAGGAAACAACACAATGATATTCCAATTCCAAAAAGACAAAGTGATAGAATTAGGACATTGAAAACAAAGGACATTGTGGGATTTGGTATGAATGCAGATGAGCCAGTTTTGGTTCCTGATGAGGAAGGAGACACAAGTGGTATTAGTGCTAAGAGGAAGAAGACTTTGGATGACATTCTGAAGGATATGTCTCAGCGATTTCCTGTTATGTATTATGTATTTTGAAGGGTTATCACCTATGTAAACTGATGATTATGTATCATCATAACTTGTCATGACTTATGTACTTTGTTATGTATTATGTATTTTGAAGGGTTTTCACCTTATGTGCTATGTTATGTGGCATCATAACATCAAACTAATGTACTATTTTGTGTATCTTGAAAACATTTATGTTTTGATTAAATGTTATCTGATTTTAGTGTCATGAAAGATTCCAAATTAAGACAAACTAAGGCAATACAAAGTAGTTTATTAGCCAAAATTTTAGACAGAGCCAAAATGTTACTATGCCAAATTTCCAGAAATGCAAATGTTACTATGCCAAAATTTTAACAATTGTTTAACATAAAACCAACATTTCATTGATACCACAAAATCAATACATAGATTTCCATAAAACTACATTTCATCAACATTTACATATAAAAACAAAATACACATTAAACATCAAGAAAAATATAAAAAAAATAAAACATTTTCAATTTTCCATAAAATTCTTCAGCTTTCAGTTTAGTCTTCATATTATTGTTATTATTCTTTGTATCCTCATACAACTATTTCAAATATCCCATAGCTTCCATAACTTCCAAGTCTGAGTTAAAAAATGCTCCCATCTTCATTCACAATTTTTCTCTCGAATGTCTTCATCTCATATGAACAAATCATACGTCTCATCACTCTTTCAAAAGGGACATCTCAAAAACAACATTTTTTGTCCCTTCTTGCATTGGTATGAAACCATACGAGTTTGGCATCCACATAAATGTCCAACTCGAGATTTTACATTAGAAGAAGAAAATGAAACACCTTTGGTTGACTTTGCCTTTGAAGGAGCCATTTAAACGAGTTGGGTTTGGTGTTGTTGAAAGGACCTGGGTTTATGCAAAAACGATGAAGCAGATGAGAAAATGTTAGGTTAGGGTAAAATTGGGGGAAATACAACATATTTATCCACGTATTTTGCAAGCCACGGTAAAAATATAATTTTTATTCATATCAAAATAAAAAAACAATTAATATTTTATCCATGTGGACTATCACATCAGACTCTGTTAGTCTCACTTAACGTTTGGGGCCGATTGTATGGATGAAAAAATTTTGGGGGACGATTCTTTGAAGGAAATTTTTAGAGGGAGTAAAAACAAAATATATAATATTTATGAAGACCAGAAACATATTTAACCATATATATATATATATAATACTCCAAAAGTAACGCTAATATGAATTAGAGTTACTCCGTTCATTAACTTAATACTAATAAAGAACTTCCTGAAATTTGATATACCTATCAACACTAATGATTTGAAGATTATGACTATCAGATCAAATAAAATCAAAATTATGTAGGTCACCAAAAAATATCCACGATAAATCAAACATGGTACAAAAAACACAATTGTGGACTTTAACTCAGAGACATACACACAGATGTTGAAAATATTTGTTATAAGCATAAGATCGGAGTTAACTTGAGAAGCAGCCAATTAAAAACTTGTTAAAAGTCGACATTCGAACCCACTAAGGACTAGTTGGAGTTTGTATTTCTTAAATGCAACATCATGCACTGGGAAACTACAACTGGGATAATAATCCTCTAGAGTGTACATTCATGATCCACTTGGTAGGGTTTCTAAGGTCTAAGAACATACTGAAGGAATGCGGTCTAGTTGGATCAGAGTAAACTAATAGTGAGCCAAGATAGACAAGGTTCACTAGATTCCCAAGACATTCCATCTTAGAAATTACAACTAGACCACGAGAAGAAAATCCAAGATCCTTAACCATGTCAATATCTCCACAAAAGAGGATAAAACAATAGTAAGATATGACACATTATTTCTTCTCCTAACACATCAACTCTAAAACACCATTATCAAGTTCTTTAAGATTAAAAGAACTGCTAAAGAGGGGATGAGTGATACCAAGAGACATCACCACCATAGGGAGGCTTTGGTGGTAGGGAGGCTTTACACCACCAGTCAACACACATTATCATCATAAATGGGAATCACACCATTTAATACCTTAGAACCCAAAGACAAGAAGAAAATAGTGACCAATAGCCATGTGGTGTCGTCAAAGAAACATTTTCCGTGTTGTAGAACATCACACATCCATTCCATATATCATAATCATCACACCTCAACTTTAGAGAAAAACATTAAATGTGTCCCTCAACCTAAAATTCCTAGCCTAAGCCTACTAGCCATGTGGAGACAAGAGAAAACACCAAGAATCAAAAGCAGGCTGACGGAGACATATTCTTGTGAGAAGTGAAAAAAAGGAGCAAAGGATGACGATCCCTAAAAAACAAGATGTCATATAACTAAAAGCTTTTTGTATAGAAAGTCGTTATAGCAAGAAACTCGTGCCCTTTAAAACATCCATTAAGTGAGACTAAGGAAATGAAAGCACACCCATACTTGGAGAAAGATCCACACAAAGTGAGAGAAGGCACATACATACATGCAACCCGTAGATAAGGGTTTCGTCCAAAGACATCAGAATAAACCACGACATGTCTTTGTTGGTCTTGGCTTAGGGGGGCTACTGCTTCAGCCTGGGCCAAGATCCAATCCACTTTGATATATTTCATTAAGGTGTCTACCTGTTAAAGGTCGTTAGACCCATCTAACGAACTCTCCCTAATTAATGACACACTGAAGTAAAATCGATAAAGTTCTAAGGGCCTTTAAATTTGACATTGTCGATGCCAAGCCACTAATGTCAGTTTCTTATAACAATTATCTACAAAGAAGGTTTTAGTGGCACCTAATTTAAGATAAATCTACTTTAAAAAGACGCTTAGTTGGAGCAATTATAGAGTTGAGGAATGTTAGATTATACTTGCTGAGATCCTAGGACATCTATCCTTTCATTCAACTTTAGCAAATTATACGTTCTAGGTCCTTAAATCCATAGAAGTCTAATATAAAAGAGGAATTACACATCAATTTAAGATATACAATATTCTAACTTAAAAACCTCATACTTTTGATCATCATTGAATTGGACTTTAGAATATTTACATGTATTCCCTCAGACCATAACTATAAAAACACCAAAACATTCAACAAAGTTTACCATCAAATCAAAATCACTCGCACACAAATCAGAAAGGTATATTATGAATTAAGAATTATATTTAGTTTTTAAAATGTGAATTAACATTAATATAAAAAGTATTTATTTTAATATCAAATTCTATTTTTCAATTATATTTATGTTTTATTTGATTTCAATTTTTATATTTAAAATTATATTAAAAATAAATGAGTAATTTATTTGATTTAAATTTTAACTACATTTGATATGCTAGTTCAAATATTTTCAGAAAGAGTCAAGAGCATTTGGTTATCATAGACGTATTAATATTATACTGGTTCATTAAACTTAACCTAAAACTGTAGAATTATGCAATAATAGATAGATGAATGAAAGTTTGTCTTTTACTTAGAACCTATCCATTTCTCTTTCCTTTCAAGTCCAATCACCTGTTACTTTCTCTGTTCTTCCTTTCACTCCCATTGGCCATCTTCCCTTTCTTTCTAACTAACGCATTTCTTTTGCCACACCTTTCTCATAACGCCAAAAACACCTTCTTCTTGCTCATTCTTCACCTCTCTTCCTCTTTCACTTTCACTCCACTCTCCCTTTTCAAATGAACTCTTTTTATATGCTGCAAGGTGTACTTGAACTTTGAATTGCAGTCATAGAAGAAGGAAAAAAAGTATTATTTTTTTGATATGGGTTCTTGTTCTTCTGTCCAAAGAAACTCTCTTTGTTCTACAACTGTTGATAAGCTTGTGATTCTTCCATCACCCATCAAAGATAAACCCAAAAATGATAACTTTATCATCGATCATGTTTCTCTTAACTCCTTCAATGGTATGGTCCTTCTGGGTTTGTTCTCATGCATCATCATCATCATCATCATATAAAGATACTATTTTGATCAATATATTTTCATCAGAACTGATTTTTAACACTTTTATGAACCTTTCTGAGGTCTTCTATTGACTAGTGATCTTATATCTTGTAGGGTCTAATGATTTGTTTATCTTTTATTAGTCTTCTTCATGCTTGAGGTTTTTTATGTTTTTGGTGTTTTTAATCTTTGTTGGTACTTTTTAGATTGATTTAGTAGCATATGATATTATTATTGCTTTAACTAATTGTTGGTGGAAAAATGATTCTGGTTTTTTCATATCACAGTCAATTTCCACTACCTTTTTGCAAATATATATATGCTGTGGTTGGTGGTTCTCTCTTGAGAGTTTCTTGATGCTTTTTCATTTTATGTTAATATGAAGCCAAAGATGAATTTTAATATGGAATATTTATTTATCTTTATCTCTTTGTTCTTTTGTGGGGGTAGGATATTATTTTCAAAGGATTTGTATGATAAATATAGTTAAGGTGGTAAAAATTGAAAGGTAGAGAGATATACCAAAAGAGTGTTATATGTACAACTAAGAATATATGTTTCTTTCATTATTATCCAAAGGACAAAATCTGTAACTGGATTTGGTCAAAATTCAAATAGAAAGATTTATCTGGTTGTTGGCCTACCTTTGAATGTAATTCATGATATTATTTTCAAAGGATTTGTATGATAATATAGTTAAGGTGGTAAAAATTGAAAGGTAGAGAGATACCAAAAAAGTGTTATATGTACAACTAAGAATATATGTTTCTTTCATTATTATCCAAAGGACAAAATCTGTAACTGGATTTGGTCAAAATTCAAATAGAAAGATTTATCTGGTTGTTGGCCTACCTTTGAATGTAATTCATGATATATGTGGTTGTTGTTGGTAGAAATTTAAGGGATAGGATGGTCAATATCAATTTATTAAGGTAGATATTAACTTATTGATTATTTTGACTACTATTAGTGGGGCATGACTTTGTTGTTCAGTTGTTACCTTAAATTTCATATTTAAATTTATTTTTTGCCTGCAACTGCAGATACTAACCTTCTAGGTGAAATCAATTTTAAAGAGTCAATCTCTTTTAATATAGTATATTTTTCCGTATGCACAAGTCAGGAATCGAATCACCGGCCAAATATTTAAGAGACTCAAGTATCTATAACTTTGTGTTTAGGACACAGATAATAGAATATCATGCACCATGGTTATGTTTTTTCATGATATCTGTGATTTTGAGTTTCATATGTTGAAGGATTTTTTGAATATGGTCCCTCCCCTATTGGAGCTTTGGTTGGGACCAGTAGTTTAACACTACTCTGTGATGGCTTAATCCTAGATTTGAATAAGAACTTTCATTTCTCACCTAGAATTATTCATATTTGCAGTCTACTTTATCTTATGGACCACAACACAACAGGATTGTCACGTGATAGTAATTACTAAGAAATAGTTGTATAGTTTTCAGTACTAGAAATTAGGTGAAACAAAAAAATTTCTATTCAACACAACATATTTACCATAGGATGTTTTTATTTCCTGTTTGGACATTCTAGCACACACCATAACAGGAAATAGACTCCTGCATTAAATGATTGCCAACTGTTACTTCAAATTGGTTCAAATGTTTGTTTACACAAAGTATTTGTGTCATTGTGTTGTGATGGAAATAAAGTCACATGGTAAGTAAAGAGAGTTAATAACAAGTTCTGCCACTTTAGATTGAAGGCATATTTGGTATCCGCCACAATACACCACCAACGTATATAGTTAAAATCAATCATGCTGCTTTCTTAAATTATTATTGATGTCAGTGTCATGTTGTATCTAATGTCTATGTTTATGCTTCGGAGAGGCATGTTTAATTTTTTGTATATTCATGTGTCAGTTTTCGGTTTTTCTTACAAAATCTTTTGAACTTTATGATACAGGAAGCAAAGATGAAGCATTTTTTGATTCCAAGGGCTGGTTAGACTCAGATTGTGAAGACGATTTCTATAGTGTCAATGGTGGTAAGGAGGCCTTCTAGTACTTTTTCCTTTTTGTAGTATTTTCTAGTGAGTAGGAAGTGAAACTCTGCATACTTCAAATGTTTTTCCCGACTTTTCTCCTTTTAATCGAACATATGAATTTCTTTGTTTCTATCCAGATTTCACCCCATCTCGGGGAACCACTCCAGTGCACCACACATTTGGGACCCCTACCATCAACAAAAACCCTCCCGAACCATCTCCAAAGAAAAAGAATTTGTTAGAACTTTTTAGAGAAAGTGTGAGAGAAGTGCCAAATGATGAAGTAGGAAAAACTTTCAGCAATGAAGAGAAACAAGTTAAACCAATAATTGTACATGATGTTCTTACTAAATCTACACAAAGTACTCCTTATATCTCAGGTAGCATTGAACAAACCTTGAATGATGAAAATGAATCAGTTGGGCCTGTGCAGTGTTGCCTTCCACGCTTGAGTAGCTTTAGTGAGAGGAGAAGGAAAGCTAATCTTGATATAGCAGCAAATGGAAAAGCTTGATTTCTGGTGCAATCTATCTATGTATTTATAAAACATGTTGGAAATTGGAAGGTAAAGCTTTCAATGAATGAAAAGAATATGATGATAATGTACAGCTTAAATAGCTATATGAATTTGGAAGCGTGTACACATAAACGGAAGGGATGTTTTTTATGTCAATAAGCAATGAGATTTTTGTTTCATAATCAAGGGATTGCTTCATCTTATTAAAAAAATTGTATGCAATTAGGTGATGATATATACAAAGTACTTGCATGAATTTGATGAATATGTTCTATTTTTGCTGCGCCATTCTGTTGATTGTTGGCCAATTACTAATTAATTATTAGTTGTCAACTTGCCATAGTTAGTTGACAATTTGGCTATCATAACTTATTGTTAATAATATATCCAACTAAGGTTAATGATATAAGAAAGAACCTTTTGCATAGTTGGATTATGTCTTTTGTGTGATGGACTCAATATCAACTATTATGGCAACAATAAAGGATACATGTACTTCCTAAAGGTACAATAGAACATCAAACCCTCTTAAGAGCAAGAAAGTTTGTATCCGTTTTTTTTCTATGAAACCCGTGAATGATCTTCCAATCTTAGAGATTGAGATATTTGTAGACATGATTATGGGCCGGATCATGAGAAAGAAACAGTCTTTCCTCAACTTTCCAACGGATTTGTGAGAGTAGGGGGGGACAATTCTTCCTCCTAGATTGGAGGAGTGGTTTACTCCATTGCAAGATTGACCAAACCAGTCCTTTCAAAGACTTCATCTACCACATATTGGAGAGATGAACTAGCAATGGACATGGATTCAGGTTGGACGACCCAAGATCATGCCCGCGCAATTTCTCTAATGGCCCTTTCATAACTCATTTGGGCTGATCAGACCATGAGTTGTTTTACTCTAGAGTCCAATAAAAGTTATCCCAATCCAATGCACAGAACAAAATAAAGGTCAAATTATGCTCGTAGGCAATTTGAGGGAAAAAATCTTAATACTTATTGAGTAAAATTCTAACACTAACGAGTGTCGTTTACAGTGTATGACAGTTTACAGTGTATTACAAAGAGAGCATCAAAACAAGTTTATCCTCACGATTTCAATGTTATAGCTGAGTGTCTGTAAAAATCTGTGAGTTGACAGTGTAATGCTTGTACTCTGTAGTGACTAGAGAGAATGACAATGACTCAACACTCACTGTATCTTTAAAGGCACTTGAAACTCATCATTTGTTCTTTGTTCAAGAATCCAATATCACAGACACTTCATCAATAGGTTATACAATCTCGCTGCAAGAATAGTCTCGTACAACTTTGAAACTGTGCTTTAATGGCAAATAATCAAACTGATTACAATTATATTATTTCTGAATTTCAGTTGTATCCTTCCCCTTCCTCATTCAACACAACTTCAGGTTCGAGTCTTCTGATCAAGCTTCTTACTTTTAGAGGCATTTTAACCTTCAAATCATAACATCATTTCACTCGGCTAGTTCTTCAACTCCACTCAAGAGTTCTTTCTCTTCTCTTTCTTTTATTTTTCTCTCATAAAAATTGCAAGAAATTCACTCTCTTTCTCAATTCTTTCCTTCTTACCTCTTTCTTTCTCTTCTCCCACTTTCTTCTCTGTCCCCTCCAACCAAACAAGAAGGGACTGAGAGATGATAGGCTATAAATGAAAGGAAATGAATAATATAAAGAGAGAGGGTTATCCGTGGTGCTTGATAGGATTTGAATGTTGGAGATAACCAAGTCTATTGAATACTCTCAAATAAGTTTTCTATTACATTCAGAACCAGTATATATCAAAGAGACTTGCATTTAAAGTTTCTTCATAAGAATCTCAATTTTCTCAACAGCTTGATGCATATTTTTCTGTTTGGCTTCATCCAAGAGCAAACGGCAAGTTCTGTACATAGGTACTATATCTTGATCGACCATCTCCTCAAACAGATTGAATGCCCACTTGCATCTATCTGCTCTACAAAGCCCATGAACTAGCAATGTATAGGTTGAAAGATCAAGACCAATATGATATTTATTTATCATGTCATTTAATATATCATTCAGCAAACTATCTATTTGTCTCATTTTAAAGCATGACTTGATCAATGAATGATAAGTCTGAATATCAGGCTTACATAGGCCGGACTCTTCCATCTCCTTCAGAATGCCAAAAGCTCTCTCTTCTCGTGCATAGTAACAAAACATAGAAATCAATGAATTATAGGTGGATGTATTTGGAGTCGCACCGGCCTTCGGCATCGCAACTTTGAATACATGCATAGCATCATCTATTCTGCCTGCTCTCCCCAACGTATAAACTAACGAATTATAAAAAAGAGTATCAGGCCTACATCCGGTAGAGCTCATTCTATCAACTACTTGCAAAGCTTCGTCGATTTTTTCTGCTTTTGCCAGTGCACACATGACAGTAGTATAAGTGACCACATTAGGAGAGCAATTTTGAGCTTGCATTTCATCAAGAAGTTCATAGACCCTGTCAAAATTCTGTTCTTGACAATAACATTGGATGATGGTGGAATAACTTATAACACAAGGGCGACAACCGTAACCTTTCATTTCTTGGATTGTCCAAAGTGCCTCCTCAACACGTCGGATCTTGCACCACCCGTGAATCAATATGTTAAACGTGTGAGCGTTTGGAGCAATGTGATGCTTCAGTTCCAAGTAAATTTCACGAGCCTGCTCAACAAATTTCTCTTTGCAAAGAGTATCAAGCAACACATTCATGGATTCTGTATTCTTCTCCAAACCGAGAAACTGTAAGTCATCAAATATCCTCACAGCGTCTTTCCACTGTTTTGCCCCAACAAATCTTCTCATTACTTTGGCTATAGTATCGAGGGTGACGAGACTCTCTTGACGCATTTCTTCTAAGATCTCTCTCATCTTTCCCATCACCTTCATTCTACCCAATATATCTACCATCATATCATATGATTCTCGAGAATGTTTAAAGTGTGTATGCGAACCAGCCCATTTGAATATCCCCAATGCAGACTTCCAATCATCCTTATACCGACATAGCAACCTATTAACAAGGTTTTGAGACGGATGAATACCATTTACAACTTCATCACTGATTAGAGACAGGAGAACGTCTTCCTCGCTACTTCCTTTACCAATTTTCGCAGTAAGAATGTCCACAGATCTCGTAAGGTCTTGAGGTTGTTCTTCTCCAGGGTGACAAGTTGCTAATGAAGAAACGAAAGTTCGTGGATAACATATGCAAGGGCGGTCACGAACAACGGCACGATATATTGACTGCATGGAGGTGACTTTAAGAAACATGAGAACCATGGTCATGACTAATGAAGATACATGATCTGCTTCAAAATAAAAACATGTTGAAAACTAGCTTTGAGAAATTGTTAATGAGGAAGTTAAATCCTACACTAGCTATTATTTCTTAGAACAACAAAAAGAAAATACGATTATTATGATAACAAATTTCATATAATAATAAAGTAAATCTGAGTGTTATACTGTGAATGTAACATTGTGATTGCAATAAATGTTATAAGGTGAAAAAATCAAAGTTATTAAACTGAAAGTTCTAGCTATATTGTCAATCACGGTGCGAAGTAATTCTCCGGGGAGGTTTATCGCGGCCGCAAACGGAGGTGGAACCGCAACCTCGCGCGGGCACGATGAGAGGGGAAAAGAAATCCAAAATAAATAAGAAGGAAAAGGTAGAAGAGATTTTTACTTTTTGTAGCGGTCGATGACTGATTCCGATGACTTCTTCCGGCCAATTAAGTCCGGTGCTGACTCCAATGAGTTCTTCCGGGCAGTTGAGTTCAGTGGTGACTCCGACTTGTTTCTGATTCGACCAAGCGGGGGAACAGGTTTTGTTTTTGCTGATTTTATTTTCTTGTTTTTGGTTTTAATTAAACGCTCAAATAAAACAAATTCTCATAGAACTAAATAAATTTGCTTAAATAAAAAAAATAGAGAAAGTGGGTTACCAAGGGGAATTATCTAAATTCAAATTTAATGTTGGACTAATAAGATTATCTTAAGTTGAATCAACTTATGAAAAAGTGAATTCTTAACACACACCATAAGTTTTTTTTTTTTTATGTATCACGTGAAATTTTATAAGTGCCTTTCAAAATCGGAAGTATATTTCTGCTCCGCACCATGCTATATATGAATTACATTAGAAGGGTTGGATGCAAATCAGAAGTATATTTTTGGTTCCAACCTGAAAGTATACTTTTGATTCCTGGACGCACTAAATGGTGTCATGCCTCTTCTCCTCTTATTACAGTAACCATTTTCAAAACAAAACATAAAACTCTCTCATACTCTTATTACATCTTTCATATATTTGGATAAAAAATCATTAGAAATCATTAAGCATTGGTTAAATATAGTATTATAATGCAGTCAATCAAGCAAAATCAACACCAATCAATCAAGTAAGTTGTTTTTCAAATGTTTAGAGTTTATGTAATTTCTACTCAAATTAGTGAATTAGGGTTTAAATTGTGAATTTTATTATGAATTTTGACTTGAATTATATTATGCAGGAACATGATACGCTCAAGGTCATTAGCCATGGGCGGAAGATCAGTAAACATGTGTTGCCTGCTGAGCCATGGTTTGATGAGCTTTTATGGCTTACAGGGTTGAAAGATTTGGCCCTGTGTGGATACAACATGGTCAACTGGGGTATGATCAATGCTTTTATTTAGAGGTGGCACCATGAGACATCGTCGTTTCATCTACCACATGGTGAGATGACAATTACACTCGACGACATCGTGTATGTGCTTCATCTGTCGATCGAAGGGACTTTTTTTTATCATGATAGGATCAGTAAAGAGGAGGCATTGGATTTGTTGGTTCATAAGCTGGGAGTTACCCCCGAGAGTGGCCTGAGAGAGATTGATAAGACATGTGGTTGCCACGTCAGGTATAATTATTTGGATATGGAGTTCGCATATGAGATTAGGCATGCACGAGAGGCT